AACGCTCCGTTGTTCAGGAGGTTGGGTATACGAACGCTCCGTTGTTCAGGAGGTTGGGTATACGAACGCCCATACAAAATGTGAAGGTCATTCAAAACAGACCACACCAAGAGAGGACTGTTGTATTGTGCGTCAGGCTTTACATGACATCTACGCTTGCCATGCACACGGACCTGGAGATATGGCTGGGTTTGAATTTCTCTGAGATACAGCTGCTCAAGGACAATATTCAGCAGTTCTCATCAAAGGTTTATTTAGTTATTTATTTAATTAAATGTTTTAATGTGAGCATAAAGGTGCCTTCCAGTCATACCAAAATATTAGACTAAGCCTATTTGGTTTGATAAGAATAAAAAAAAATCTATGCAGGTACATTGCTCATGGTTTGCCTCCTGTCTTTTATAATTTTGTCCCTCTGTTAAAATGTCTTGATGACATTAAGGCATGGATTGCATTTTTAAGTTTTAATGATCAGAAAACTGAAGTTATTGTGTTTAGTCCTAGCTCTACCACTGTCTCTGATCCTGTAAATCTTGACTCTTCAACCATGCTTTAAGCAGTCTTTCAGGAATCTCGGGATGATTTTATACTCTGATTTTAAGTTTAATAAACAAATAAATTCTGTTCTACAGAAAAGCTTCTTCCAGTTAAGGCAGATACAATAGATAAGCTTAAGTCAGTGTTGACCAGATCTGACCTTAAAAAAATATCCCATGCATTTGTTTCAACCCAGCTGGACTACTGTGACTCGCTTTATGTTGACATCAGTCAGGTGTCCCTTTCATGTCTCCAGCTCGCCCACAACGCTGCAGCTCAGCTATTAACAGGAACTCGTAGGTTTGAGCATATTTCACCAGTTTTGTCCTCCCTTCACTGGCTCCCAGTACATTTCACAATAGATTTTAAAAATTCTCCTGTTGATATTTAAATGCCTAAATGGCCTTACACCTCCTTATCTCTCTGAGCTACTGAACCATATGTTCCCTCTCGGGTGCTGAGATCATCTGACCAGCTGTTTTTGGATGTACCAGAAACCAGGATGAAGCTCAGAGGAGATCGTGTTTTTCAGTCGTGGGCCATAAACCCCCCAACATAAGACAGGCCACTTCACTTCCTGTTTTTAAATCTCTTTTGCACCTGCTTTGTTTGACCTTTAACCCAGTGTGATTTGTTTGAGTTTTTTATTTTTTTATTTTCTTTTGATGCTTTTGAATTATTATTATTATTTTTTTTCTGTCATTGTCTTTTATTGTTCAGCACTTTGCTAAGAACCATTGTTTTTAATTGTGCTTTATAGATAAATTTGCCTTGACATTTAACTGCTTTCTTTCTCTTAAAAACAGAAAAAGAAGGTAAAACACAACCATTCATGACAAAATGTTAATTGTATCTCTAATCTGATGTTTTCTTAAATCAACTTCTTGCAGTGACCCCTCAATCCCTCACTTTGATATGCAGTGAGCAGCGGTCAGCACCCATTGGTTGCTGATCAGGGATCCTCCACAGGTCACTGAGCCCAACCACTTTAAAGTTGCCTGCCAGGGCCAACTTCCCAATACCGCATTCTGCCCACCAATGATTCGCTCATTGGACACCACTTTGCCACATTCTGATAAGAGAGAAGAGACACAATTTAAAACAGAGTTGATGTTTCAAGTTTTCAAACAAAGTACATTATATGGTTCTCATTTTGAACAATAAAAATTCACATTTTGCTTCTCTATGCACAATGTGCTCAGTATTATGTCATTAAATTTATTAGAGAAAACTTCATACATTTGGTTAAACAAAATCCTAATCTTTTATATAAAAATGTGGGCTTAGTGTGGTATGAGCAGTAAGTGTGGTAGTGTTTCCTATAGGAAGTTTTTACAGACCATTTAGTTCACTTATGCCTTAAGACTAAATCAGTGTTCATTGTTCTAAAGATATATATTTATGGTAAAGTGATATTTACGAAGATGAGAGAAAAATGGTAGTGACTTTGGCAATGTCCAATTTAAAAAGCTATATCAAGACCAGAGTACACTTTCAAAGAAATTTCAAAGAAAAGCTATTGTCTTGAAGTACACGATGACCGTACAGACTAAGGTTTCAGCTCAGACAAAGCAAAACTTGAATGAGACAGCACATTGCTTACCAGGCTGTTGTGAATGACAACCTGAAACATAAAACAAACACCATATCAGCACATTAAGAAGATAAAAAAAATTATATATATATATATATATATATACATATACATATATATATAATATATCGCCACACCGA